ACAACAACTTCACCTCACCACCTCGCTGCACAATCCCGTACTATGCATCACCGCAAGGCACAATAGACAGAGATCCCACATCTTTGTCGCGAGCTTCTCGCACTTTCCCGAGAGGGACTAAGCTTGTCGTCTCGACCCACGCGAAGGAACGACTGCCTGCCTGGATTAGATGAAAGCTGCGCAACTCTATCGAATTCGATAGCAAGATGCCAAAATCATCTGGCACTGTGCCGAAGGGATGGGATGGGCAAACCATCTACCTTCATGCACCTTCATATTCCAAGAAGCTTTGTAGAGACAAAGTTAGCGCACTTATATCGCCAAAGTCCGATCTACCACCCGATACACAGGTTTACAAGCCGAATGGGCCATACTCGAACGTCAAAATCACACCCGTCACGGACTCTGCGCATCCTGCACATGGACAGCACGCGCTTTATGCTAACCAGCATCTGCCACCAGACTCGTTCATTTTGCCGTACTTGGGCTATGTCCACGATCAGACTGACATTGATGAAGCATCCGACTACGACCTCTCACTCGACCGCGAACTAGGCATCGGCGTTGATGCATCCAAAATGGGCAACGAAGCACGCTTCATCAACGACTACCGAGGCGTCGCTGCCGCACCGGTCGCCGAGTTTCGCGACATATTTGTAGACATCGGGAACGGGAAGGTGGAGAAAAGAGTCGGAGTCTTCGTGCTCAGCGCTGGCAAAAGCGGAAAGAGAGCGAAGGGCATCGGACGTGGACAAGAGATCCTCGTTAGCTACGGCAAAGGCTTCTGGTCAGATCGACACTCTACTGAAGAGTGACACGCCTGTACCACACCGCTCTCATGTCTCGCAACACGTCGCATCACTTTCATGTACATCCGCTGAATGCCGGTACACGCTTGCTTTTCGGTCAATCCCTTCTGCAGCGACCGGGCGTCGATTGACGACGCCGTATGATCTGCGCGGTCAGGCCCTCGATCTTCTAAGACCAACCCCGACCAGGCAGTGAGGTGTTTGTGCCGTACGCGTATCATGCGGAGTATGTCGCTCCGACATGACGCTTACTCGAGGACATGCGAATACCTGAATGTTGGGTGCAATCGCGGCGCGCCAGGGCGACGATAAGCCAAGGTCTTGTTCCCGTTGTCATGATTAGGCGGTATCGTCCACAATTTACACGAATCCCACGAGCGTTCTGTCACCAACGTGGCACTCCAGCGTGACACTTCCCTGCGGTGTGAAGGATCAAGGGTCTGTTCTGGAAGCCTTGTCGTGGAACCTTTACGGGGTCCTGATACGCTAGAAACGACGATCGAATTTCCAACAGCCCTGTTATGCCCATGGTTGGGGTTTGAGGCTTGCACAGGGACGTCACACCCAAGCGGAAACCCGGATACACGTGGGACTGAGCCACTAATGTGGCGTCGAAACCTGATTTTTCGTGCTAAGCCTGACTTTTGGCCTCTAGACACGTTGATGGACAATTGGAAGCAGTCAAATGCAGTGCCTAATCATCATTCGGGATGTCTCCAAAAAAGCCACATCTATGATAGTGCTGCAGTGTGAAGCCGCCCGAGCAGCAAAGTTGCCCAATGTCAACACCATGCAAAAGTGACGTCGCAGGATGTCTCCGCGCCGCCTCGGCCTGCGCCGAATTGACTCAGACATAATTTTGGATCAAGCGAAACGTCATACTGTGTCACCATGGCATTTCCGGCAGCATCATGGCATTGTGATGGAGGGCAGAGAATTCGCATTACCCACAAGTTACCCACAAGTGAAGGGTAAGAGTCTGCAGGCAAAATTACTCACGATAATGCAGGTACCATGTGCCATCGACTGCTTCAAGACCTTTCATGTGCGATCCTGTTACTGGATCACGATCCTGCGCCATGGCCCTACATTCAGGTTCTTACCAGTGACGTTATATCGCTTAGTTTACCTTTCGGGGAAGCAGGAGGATCAGCAAGGGGGCTGACTCCGCCAATCACAGCTGGACTACGCCCCAACCCCTGGCTATCCCAACAGGGTTCTGCGAAACGGGCCCCGTTACTCAAAGGCGTCTCGACACAGTGACCGCGGAAGGACGGATTCAGCCGCGCTGTGTTTCGGTGCAGGTGTGTTAATCGCACGTCATGGCCTATTCCGGGAATGTGAATGCGCGGCCCCATCACAAACTGTTTAAGTTGCGAGCAAATCCCCAGACTCAGGAGACCGCATTTGCGAATCCGTCAAACTCTGGAATATTCTGTCGACATCACCGGCCTCGATACTTAAGCGTCAACCATCACCGAGTCGTCGCAGTAGCATCACCTTATCACCATCACTCCACTCTGGTCCACCACCAAGAACTTTTTCGTACCCACACTTCTGGGGCTCCGCCGATCTCCTAGCACCAACGCTCTTGGCATTGTCAACTGGTATTTCTATCAGTAACCCGACAACCCCACATCAGCAGGAATCAAATCTCTCTCCACGTTAAACGATACCAACACCAAGCAACACCATATCAGACTACACCATGGCTCCCATGTCGCGACCCACTTTATGTAGAGTGAGTTCCTCCGAAGTGCTTCCTTCCTTTACACATACTAACATGTCTATCAGAACGAGTCGATGCAGAAGTACATGCTCCTCTCCGCCCAAAAGGAAGCTCTCCAACGCCGTATGGCCATGGAAATTCCGTTCAACGCCCCCATGGCAGCATCGTCGCCAGAGTTTCAGTCTCTCTCATCTTCACCCGAGTCCTCACCCAAGTACTCCACGCCCTTCCCCGCAGCCAGTGACCCCGTCGCCGTCAGCTCCAGGACCAGTTCTACCCCGCGCAACAGTGTCGACGACATGCACACGGAAGAATCCCACAAGCTCGCCGTGATCAACCAGCAAATCGTCGCTACCCTCACCGAGCTCATGAACACAGATTGCATCCGCAACGACGAGAAGCAGCGCGCCTGGGTCCAAGGCCGCCTCATGGAAGCCGAGCACCAAATACGTCGCGAGCGCCGCCGTCACTCCTCCAACGCTGGCGGCGACTTTGCCGATGCCATCGCACAGCATCTCGAGCTCGGTCTCAACACTTCCAAGACATGGGCTTAGGCCCATGCTTTGACGCACGTCCGCACCATGTAAGGTTTCTCATGGTGCAATGACGTGAGGGTTACGATGATCACGATCGCGATTTTGCTCTCTTGTGTTTTGCGAGCGGCGTTTGCTTTTTTGGACAGGCAATTGGCGCAATGGTTCTGAAATGAAGTGCTCAAATCAGAAAAACAGATACCCCCCCTTTGATGCAATCATTGCATCAAGTCGATGGAACTGCTAGGTTCCCGACCCGATCTCTGTATAGTTAGTTTTATGAAATCATGATCACTTTATCACGCATCATCACTGTCATTGCTACTGCTGTTTGTCCCGTCCCGTGTCGCGTGGTTTGACGACGTAATATTTGCCGTTCACGCAATGCTTCTCGTGCACTTTGTTTTATCATCCCGAAATAAACCTTCGTAAGCGTACCGGGGCGTTTGGCCGGTAGAGCCCTTCCCGTCCAATTGGAACTTTTGGCGACATGCTGGCGCGCGGTCCCTGCATCCCCATGGTTCTTTCGCGCAGCGTGCTTTTTCGTGGGTTCTCTCTCCGCACCGCAACGCTGACGCGCGATCGCTCTGTTTAATAATCTTGATGACTTCAAACCGCGTCTTTCCAACGTTGGAAAGCGGGGATATCCTTTGCTTCCGCCTCCCGGCCCCTTCGGATGAGGTCTAGATAGCGATACCGATAACGTTCGCGACAACGTGGATGCCACACCTTAACCACGCTCCCTGGAGCACGTTTCCGTTCCACCAAACAACGTGCTCATGACGTCACCCACCGCTCTCCCCCACAAACGCAATAAGCAACACCACACGCGACACACCCACCAAAACGCATCGCATCGCTCTATAAACACCTAAACGGTGGTTCAAAGCCGTTCATACTTCCCAACAGAATCGGGCGTCGAATGGATGGCGGTTGGATCTCGCTTTAGATAGCGTGCAGGTGTGTTATCGGTCCGTATGCATGCGGTATGGGATCGGCGGTGCTGCAGCAGGCTTGCGACTGCTTTACTTGGGCTTTGGGCTGTTTACCCCTCATTTTGGGGAGGGAGCTGGTGAAGGTAGGGTCTAGATGCGGGGCTGTTGTGCTTAGTTGGCTGGTTTGGGGAGGCTGGGATGGGAGGCTGGGGGTTGGAGGGTCTGGATGGGTGAGGTGGTGTGGTGGTGTGATGTGGTGTGCTGTGGGATGAGTTCGGCGGAATGTTCTGGAGCTGGAGGCATACTTGAGGGGGTTTCGTGTGTTGCGCGAACAGAGATGAGGCTTCCCCCTCGAATAGCAACAGCTGCTTGATCTACGATGCGCGAGTTCAATAAATACCTGGGTACCTAGTATGTTTCTAGACAGCAAGGGCATACGCTCACTGGTATTGAAGCTGCGCTTCGATAAACGGCTCTCACATACAGCAGTATAATCCATTGCTCATCAGCGTAACTCGATTCTGCCACACTGTTCTGGAGTGCGACATCAGGCGTTCAGATGGATGATAGGTCGGAAGTACCTGCCTGACGAGATGCGCCTCCCTTGGCGTAGGCAGCAATGATGGCGGGGCATTCTACACAACACTCTCTTTGTAGCCTTCTCAATCACAATCCGACTTGCTACTCTACGGATACCACTATGAACTGAACTACAGCAACCCATTCAGTTCTGTCCTGCGAACTACCGACTATCGTGGGTATGGAGGAGAATGTTGATATTGCGCCATCGAACATTCGAGGATCACCGGGGGCGGACGCTTTGTATTGCGAAGAGTGCTTACATGTGGATCGATCTCTCAACGACATTCCGAATATAGCGTCCAGACACGGTGACCGAAACTACCTGGTTCTTCCGTTGAAAGCTGATGCAGCCGACATCAAGCCAGACACGACCTGCCCATCATGCAGAGATATTCTCAATATACTCAAAGAAATGGGCCCCATGGGCACCGAAATGTGCAATATCACACTCAGGATTGAAGGGGACCACTTCCTTGAGCCTCACAGGGGAGAAATATCGTCAGCATGCGTCGAGATATCCTGGAAATTCAACCGCGTGCAATATCACGACAGTTACCTGTTACCGCGCTCGGACTATCCTATGCGACTTCGACCCGATTTGGCCACTTATAACGAGGCCAAAATTCTCCCCATAGTACTTATCAAATCGTGGCTGCATACATGCGAGGGCGAGCATGAAGTCTGTCGGTCTGATCCCGCCAACGAGTTGGACATGTCGCTCTATCTCATCGATGTAGTCGAGGAGTGCATTACTCTGAAGCCCGTCTCGAATGTGCGCTATATAGCTCTAAGCTACGTTTGGGGTAACGTCAAGTCTACCAACTTAACCTCTGGAAACATGGAGGAGCTTCAAAAACCCCGAAGCCTGTCATCCGGATCAAATGTCGCTACTGTTCCGCAGACTATTAGAGATGCTATACGTCTCACCGCAGACTTAGACGTCCGCTACCTATGGGTGGACTGTCTCTGCCTGATTCAGAACGATCCCAATCTCTCCTTCTATCTGGACCGAATGCATCTGATCTATGCCAATGCTTTCGTGACCATCGTGGTAGCAAACAAGGACAACGCGAACGGCGGCATCACTGGCTACAATACCCATTCAACTGACCGCACTCCACCTGGAAAAGTCATAAACTATCCAAACTTCGTGCTTGGCATTGTTGAAGAGCCTCAACTGGCAGCCGTTGCTGCCTTACCATGGCGTTCGCGGGCTTGGACACTACAAGAAGGCTTTTTTTCTCGACGGGCGTTGATAATCGACGATCGCATTTGTCTCAAATGTGTGGAGGACTTCTCAGAAGAGGGTTCAGATTTTGGCTTCAAGCTCAGTATCAATCTGTCAGTCAGAATGCGAGGCCTCGTGCCAACCCTGTGTCAAGCCTCGCCGAGTGAATGGGAACCATACTGGCTCGAATACTCACTGGCGGCAAGAAGTTTCGCCCCTCGCGCATTATCGTACGACCAAGATTCTATAAAAGCGTTCTCAGGGGTCATCAACTACTACACGAGCCTAGATAAACTTCAGCGGAAAGCCAACACAGGATTACTATTTGGTCACCCATTGTGTAAGTTTTCACGCGCACTCTTGTGGAGCTCAGATAGGAATATCTTGGAGAGAAGGATGTTGCTACGCCCAGATGGGTCATTTGTTATGCCCAGCTGGTCATGGATGGCTTGGCGACATAATTGTCAAGCAATTAGCAGCACACCTCTCGGCAGTCACTGGCTTAGTGGTAGACCTGAGGCCAGAGAGCTTGAAGTAACCATCGTTATCTATGCGCAATGCGGTATCTGTCTGCAGAACCATCAGATAACTAGCGAGAGATGCAGCAAAAAGGCCTCCCCGGAGCTAGTCGAACCGGAACACCTTGACCCATATCTGTACATCAAAGCACAAAGAGCGCAATTTCGTGTATCATGCCACGCTCAAGAGTGCAACAAGGCGTTAAGATATCTGATACCGTTGGGCACTACAAATGATACAGAGGACATCATCTTAGGCGACATGACTTTCGACCACTGGCCTCGGCAATTACCCCAGGGCGAACCTGGTGGCTTGGATTTCATCGGTATCTCCTATGGTGAACATGGTCAATTCCGCGGCTCCGGAATTCCCGAAGTTGATGCGCTTTGCATCATCCCAGTCGACGGAAAACCAGGCGTATTCGAGAGGCTGGGTGTTGCTAGAATCTCGAAGGACGCATGGGATCAGGCTGCTCAGTTCGATGAGAATATCATACTAGGATAGTGTATGAAGTATCAATGGCTCGTGATACGGTGCATCACGCGATTGCAATGTAAGAGAATCAGCTATGACTGTCGATAAGATTGCCCTATCTACGAGGAAGTGACAGTATGACAGGACGGCCTAACCGACCTTGGAAGTAAATCAAAATGGAACACTGGCACGATTCGCAGCTGCAGATTCCAAAAAGGCCCTAGCAAAGAGCAGCCAAGACCATCGTGGATGAAAGTTGACTTGCGCGCTCTGCAACGGTTTACGCCATAGTTTGCGTAAATCTAGCCTGTCGACAGCTGTTGCAGTGTCATGATTGATCCTACAATGCTGCAGTTGATCGCGCCTCATGGCACGTCCGACTGCCCAGGCGAAGTTAGGCCATGGCCATTGTACGCATTGCCGAAGTCGCTCTCGTGTATCGCATCAAACCACGAGTGATCAACGAGGGCGGTCCCTGACAGCGATGTATTGTATGTTCCTCCATCGAATTGGGTAGCGGACGGGGTTGAAGAAAGAGACACGGGCATGTTGCTCGCAGGGACAAGCGCACCGTTTTCGCGACTTGATCCCATGCTGGACTGCCGACCAATCGCTGTACTGGGCGAGCCGGCATCGCCGGGGATGGCTTTCATCAGCGCACTAGATGAGACGTCCAGTGACACTAGGGCTCTTTCGAGAAAATCCGCTGATTTGCTCGAGAGGCGTATGATCCATCTATACTGATCTAGGTGAGCCCGGTATCTCGCTGCCTCTTCCCTGTTGGAAGATGTCACCCAGAGAAGCGAGATGAAAGAGCCGATGAGTATGAAGTTGTAGGTGGACGAAGAATACCAAAAGGACTGGAAGTGTTCGGGTCGGAGAGATTGCACGAAGCTCATGGCAGATGTGAGTCGAATCTGCGCTGCTTGTCGGCATATAGTGTGGAGTTCAAGGTCGTCTGCTGGAGACAAAGAGCGAATGATACGTCGGTGAAGCGTCATTTCGACTGCGTAGTAGCCAAGATGAAGATAGCCGACGCTGGATAGCTTTCTTGCAGCTATATCCTGCACCTTAAGCGCAGCCGGCATGTTGGCATACCATTGACGTAGGGTGAGCTGCAAAGGCTTTGCTGCATTAAGCAGCGACCGTACGCCTTCGTGCGCACGACTGGCGAAGTCGCGCTCGGCTTTTAGCGTATAGAAAGTCGATAGTATCTGTGCCAAGATCTGTGTAAGCTCTACCATGTAGCAGAACAAAATTCGACCTTTTTCCACTTCAGTACTGCCGTCTTCGTCATCCTCATCAGCCGCGCTCTCTGGGAAGTCGTCAACAGTTAGAGGCTGTACATCCCAATCCATCGGCGTGATGTGCGAGGGGCGACCGTGCACCAGCGCACCCCATTTATCCTGCATGAATACAGCCCACGCCAGACGTTTACGAAGACCGCACTCCCAGGCTGGGATATGCCACGTCGTACAGTCAAGTTGGAGTCCCATATCCTGCGCTAGTCCCACCAACTGACATGTCAGTGCCCAGCTGTTGCCATCTGGTCGCTGAAGAAGCAGCAGCCCTGCCTGTATAGTCGAGAGCTTAGGCCTGTGGATGATGTTGCTGAACGATCTCATCGTAAGGGACTCTAGATGCGAAACGTCTGGCTTCGACTGTAGTGCTAGCTCGCTGGAATACGTCCACCAGTTGAGGGCCAGGAGATAAACTGCAGCTAACAGCGGCGGCGAGAACTCTCGATGAGTCCGCTCATACTTCTCAAGGAACACTTTCTTGTGCAGAATCGGGAAGCTAGGATGTACGATCCGGAAGAAGAGACGTATCAACGCAGCGCCATGTGGTGCTACAGCTATCTCTATGGCGTCGAGATCCGGAATATCGCCTTGACTGTTGAGCGTGCCGGCATCGGGTGATGAGACGAATGTCGTTGCATGGGTGTCATCTACTTTTCGTAACTTTGGATGGCCTGCCAAAGCATCAGCACCGCCAGCGGATTGAACTGGTTCAAGTGCCAATAAAAGACGTTCATACTCTGAAGTCGAGCCGACAAGACGGCTGTGCCTGCCAGTTTGCAGGCCCAGCGTCTTCTTCAGGAGCGAAGGGCCGTGTAGATTTGCGTAGTCATCGATTGGCGGATCCTGTCGGATTCTGGCTGTAGTATCCTGAGGTGATGTAGATTGGACAGTGTTACTCCTGTAATCGTTCGCAAGAGGTACTTGGCCACGGGTGGTTTCAGTAGGCTCAGAGACTTCGTTGGCAGCCACGGCACGCCTCTTCCGTGGTAGCGGGTTTTCGTTGAAGGTGCATTCTTGATCATGGAATTGACAAAGAACGCATGGTGGTCCGCTGTCTGATATTTCGCATCGTGACTTCCGGCGCCGACAGGGATCGCATGGACGTCGCGATTTTGGCTTCGTAGTGTGGACGTTGGATACACGCGGGAAGTGGTAGTTTGGCGGCGAGTTCTCACCAGGCGTAAAGTTCATGCTTGCATCTCAGCACGCAGTATATGTCCGTCTCAGTAGCAGACGGATAACCCCAGTATGTTGTTGATGAAATCGCGATACGTGGAACGCGTCCGCGTGACGACTTCGCGAGATGGCTGATGATGGTGCTTTCTCCATGAATGAATAGTATCACACTACCATTCCTGGTTGGCGCGTGTTGAACATAGCTACTGGTTTTTTGATGGCGCTGATGACGTGTGTGCCATGTGCGTTGAGTTGGTCCCCCGGCAGGGAGGTTTGGGGGTGAAGAGCACATTGGACGAGAGAAAGCCGAGGTGGCCCAGCCCGTGGAAGCACAGACCAGGCGGAAATTAATCAGCGGCATCCCTAAAAGAACACAAGAGCTTCGCATCTCGTCCGCGACATCATCTGTAGAAGGCAAAGAGAAGCATTGTTTGTCAAGATTGAGTACTTAGCGCGGTATTGGTTAAGCCATATTAGCCATTTCCTTCTCCTTCGCCACAAGAGTTTCCTTGTTCGACAACTCTTCGCCCTCAAGAACCGGCGCGACCACCTCACCCTTTTGCGGCGGATACACCGCGCATTCTACTAACGATTCTGTCGCCGGCGAAATGTATGTACATACAACGTAATGCGTAAACAGTGAAAGGAAGAACCCAAAGATCCACGCAAATGTATAGACTTTCCATGCGCCACCGATGTCTAGATCGTTGTCGATGCTCTTCGCAAAACCCGGAAGGAGGGGAGCGAACCCTACAACGAAAGACACATATGCCCTCCAGTTCCATCCTCCATTGTACCAGTAGATGCCGCGGTGGGTGTAGAGCTGATCGACATCCAGTTTGCATTTCTTGACGAGGTAGTAGTCGCTGACCATGGTACCTGCGAGAGGACCCATGAGGCATGAGTAACCGCTCAAAAATGAGAGCAGACCCGATGCATTCTTGATGATGTTCCATGGCGTTGATATGATGCAAAAGACGGAAATGATAATTGTAGCTCGGAAGATGTTGATGTACTTCGGTAGCATGCCAGCTACATCGTTCGCGAACGGGTAGGTGTCTGCTGCGATCTGGTTGCCGATCGTCGCGAGGAGAAAGCTGGCGGATACGAAGAACTTTGCAGCTCGAGAGTCGAACTTCGCAATAACGGTTGGCATATACCACTCGAATTCGCCCCATAAGTACGAATGGGCATCGGTGACGAAGATCGGTGTGAGTGCGCCCAATGTTCCAATGATGGGGAGGGCGAGGAACTGATGGTAGCCAGCGAGCTGATTCTTGGAGAACCTGCCGAAATCAGGCATGTTGACGGCCAAAGAGGAGAAAAGTCCGACTACAGCGTTGAGGCCGGTGAGCACTGAGTAGGTGGTGTTCATGTACGTTGAAGTAATCTCCACCTTTCCTTTGATGAGCGGACCGCCACTGCATCTTTAGTTAGCATCGTCCATCGCCCCGGGCTTGAACAGATCACTCACCCTTTCGTCACTATAACGGCCCAAAGAAAGAGAGCGAAGAATGTTGGCGGCACAACGATACCCTTGATCCAAAAGAGGACGCGCAACTTTGAGATTGGCATGAGGGCGAGTGCAGTCTGCAGAAACCAGTACAAGAACAAGCAAAGCAAGCCAGCCGCTAAAAGAATTAGTGCCGCGCAATGGTATTTAGAGAGGAACCAGTCTTACAGTCTATTCCAGCGCTCTCCGGCAGATGATTCGGAAAGGTAATGAAGCTTGGCCATATCGCCTCAAGGCAGCGTTGCAGGAAGTTGCTCGCCTGGACTGTGAGAATAGCAGCCCACATCATGGCGACGAAAGCTCGAATGCAAATGGCGGGGAACGAGCCATACATGCCGAAGACGCTTCGGATGATAACGGGAAAGGACACATTGTATGTGGCACCCATTTTGCCAGTGAGGGTTATGACAACGCTGCAAATGGCGAATCCGAAGAAGACGATTGGGATTGTCTCTCTCGCTGTGAAACCTAGGGCCATGACACTGCTCACGGTAGACGCCAGAGGAGGTGCAAGCATGTCGGAGCACCAGTACGCCCAATAGTCGAGACCACCCCAGGTACGCTGTTCTGGTGGCACAGGATCAAGATCTAATATTGACGCGACGATTAGCTCAATTTCCTTACACATGAATGCCTTCCAGAGACAAACCTTTGTTCGACCAGCGCGAGCCATACTTGCCGCTTTCGAAAGGTACCCTCAGATGAAGATGAGGTGCAAGCCTCGCTTTGAGCACAGACATGGTTGAAGACAGTACGGTGAAGTCGAAAAAGTCGAATGCAAAAGAACTGTATCGAACCTTTATCAAGCTCTAGAGTCTTGGTCTTCGTGCCGTGATAGCTATGTACATCTCCGTATCAAGATCGCCTCTAGCTTGATAGCCATATCGGCTCCTGGCTCGGAGATAGTCGCTGATGACATGGCGGGGTGCATGCGGAGACGAACATGGTCCGGCATCATTATCAAGGTAAGTATTAGCCACAATCTGGATGTGTCGACGGGGATGAGAGAGGGTTGGGCGCTGGGCATGATGGAGATTGCT